GATGGATGGATGGATGGATGGATGGATGGATGGATGTCGTCCACTGTGATGCTCACACCTCTGATAAAGTCTCACAGTGTCAGCTTTCTTTTTATACATAGATATAAAATATGGATATGTGCTGATAAATAATCAGAATTATAATCTTTTTAAAATTTAATCAAATTGAGACCTTGTGAATCAGAATTGAATCAGTTATAGAAATCAGTGAAATCACACAGCATCTAGAAGCAAACTCAACCACTACCAAATGACACCAAATGAATTTTAGGTGTAGAAGCAACGAACAACTTTCTTTGAGTGGGTTTCATGTCTCACTATTGAGGCATCTGCCAGTGTTGTCACAGAGTTATGGCTACATTAAGGATACATGTGGTCCAAAAAAGGCGTTCGTCTTGGGTTCAATTTGGGCCAGATCTGATGGACTAAAAACAGTTTTTGATGACGTTGAACTAAAAAAAATTGTGGGCGTTCCAGTTGCAGCCTGAACAGCAGTGTTTTCTGGCCTTATTGTTTTTGTTTGTTTTTGTTTTGGGGGTGGGGGAGGGGGGGTACATGTGAAAAGCAAACTAGCACCAAAAAAAGATGGATCCATTTTTATTCCTTTTGTTTAACACACCAGCTCCACTCAAACAAGTCGTGAATAACAAGCTCAAAATGAGTGGAACACATGATGCCTGAACTGTGCTGACAGTACCATACTAGCATTACTCCTGGCTGGTAGTATTAGTGTTGAACCAGCTTTCTAATCTGACTGTGGCCAGTCTGAGTGAAAACAAGGTCAGTGCCAGCTGTCAGCATTGGCCTTGTCTTCCCTTCAAATCCACTGCACACAACGTGATCCGTGACAAAGGTAGTAGAGGATTTGCATATTTAAACAGTGAGACTTTGCACACTAGTGTCAGCCATGAGCTTTACTTAAAAATGCAATATTCTGCGTGTTCAGTGAAGACAGCGTGACAGTTGGGATTTATACCTCGGCTGTTGGAGAAGATACATGCCAGACTGAAGTCATCACTGTCCTCATACACAGGGTGGATATGTAGAATTACATGTAGTGTGTAGTGTAGTACCTATTTCTCTGAGGCCAAGCTGTGTCAGCAGTGAGGTTGCCTGAGCCACTCTATCCTCCCTTCTCCATCACTTTGTGTTCTGCGCAGAGGATGTGACAGCAGAGTCGGGGAGGGGGAGAGCTTAACGGAGACGATGCTTTGGATGATGAGCATTGTATGTTAATCTGCACTGTGTGCTTTAACTACCCTGCAGCCCAGAGGAGCTGGCGGGGCAGACAGCAGTAGTGCTGGGGACTGGGAGTCGGGATTATTCGTCTCTATCTTTATATCTGTCTACACCCCCACCCCGACACAAAGACGACCCAGAAGTGTCCCAGCATGTGCTGTTTGCTTACCGGCAGCAAATTACAGTTAAAAGAAAAACCCACTTATTGATAAGTTAAGCAGCTGCAGCATTGTGCTGTGTGAGAAGCAACCTGTAAACA